CCTCACCAATGGTTCCCACTGTGGGCAGCAAAGTGGCTAAGTGGTTAGCACTTTCACCTGGCAGCACGTTGGTTCGAATCCCAACCACGGCACTACCTGCATGGAGCTTGCGTGTCCTCCTTGGGCCTAGTGTGGGTTTTCCTCTGGGTACTCTGGTTTCCTCCCACACTGCTGATAGGTTCATTTTCTCCTGAAAAAATTGCCCCCCAGTATACAGTCATGGCCAGAAATCTTACCCCAGAAAAATTGGAGAAACAAAAAGCCAAAATCTGACACGTTCCACCCAAAACCCCAAAAACGGACTGGACAAAATTATTGGCAACCTCCATGTAATATTTGGTAGCACTCCTCTCGGAAAAACAAAATTTCTGAAATCAATGGCTTCCTGTCACCACCGATGAGTTTCTTCTACCTCTCAACTGGAATTCTGGAGTGCTCTTCTTTCTCCAACTGCTCCAGGTTTCTCAGATTGGAAGGGTTCCTATTCCCAACTGATGTTCTGAGATCCAGCACTCTTCTTCCTCCAACTGCTCCAGGTCTCTCAGATTGGAAGGGTTCCTTTCCCCAACTGATGTTCTGAGATCCAGCACTCTTCTTCCTCCATCTGCTCCAGGTCTCTCAGGTTGGAAGGGTTTCTTATCCCAACTGCTGTTCTGAGATCCAGCACTCTTCTTCCTCCATCTGCTCCAGGCCTCTCAAATTGGAAGGGTTCCTTTCCCCAACTGATGTTCTGAGATCCAGCACTCTTCTTTCACCAACTGCTCCAGGTCTCTCAGATTGGAAAGGTTCCTTTTCCCAACTGCTGTTCTGAAATCCAGCACTCTTCTTTTGCCAACTGCTTCAGGTCTCTCAGATTGGAAGGGTTCCTTTTGCCAACAGCTGGTTTGAGATCTCGCCACAGGGGCCACAGGGGCTCTATGGGATCAGCAGTAGGGTCCTCCGGGGTCTCCCACCATATTTCTGTGTCAGCGGTGGGGTCCTCTTGGGTCTCCTACCATATTTCTATGTCAGCAGTGGGGTCCTCCTGGGTCTCCTCCCATATTTCTGTGTCAGCAGTGGGGTCCTCCGGGGTCTCCTACCATATTTCTGTGTCAGCGGTGGGGTCCTCCTGGGTCTCCTCCCATATTTCTGTGTCAGCAGTGGGGTCCTCCTGGGTCTCCCACCATATTTCTATGTCAGCAGTGGGGTCCTCCTGGGTCTCCCACCATATTTCTGTGTCAGCGGTGGGGTCCTCCTGGGTCTCTTACCATATTTCTGTGTCAGCGGTGGGGTCCTCCTGGGTCTCTTACCATATTTCTGTGTCAGCAGTGGGGTCCTCCTGGGTCTCCTACCATATTTCTGTGTGAGCAGTGGAGTCCTCCTGGGTCTCCTACTGTATTTCTGTGTCAGCAGTGGGGTCCTCCTGGGTATCCTACCATAGTGTCCCTTTTCATTCAGATGGTGACGTATAGTGCGAGCTGACATGGTTGTACCCGGTGCCTGAAGGTCAGCTTGGATTTGTCTGGAAGTTGATGGAGGTTCTTTATCCACCATTCCAACAATCCTTCGTTGCAATCTTTGATCAATTTTTCTTTTTCGTCCACGTCCAGGGAGATCAGCTACAGTGCCATGGGCTATAAACTTCTTGACAATGCTGCGCACAGCGGACACAGGATCTCTAAAGATGGACTTGTCACCTTGAGATTGTTCGTGCTTTTCCACCATTTTTGTTCTCAAATCCTCAGACAATTATTTGCGGCTCTTTCTCTTCTCCATGCTCCAGGTGGCACACACAGACACACCACAGAAAGGTGGAGGCCATTTGTCACCATTGTAACTGGTTGTCGGTGTGATTTCTCTGTTGTCAGCACCTGGTCATGGATACGGGGAGTTTAATGACAAATTATAGGAGCGTCACAAACTTGGAATGCAATTATTTCTTACAGTTTTGAGAAGGTGCCAATAATTTTGTCCAGTCCATTTTGGGGTTTTGCGTGGAATGTATGAATGTGAGTTAGGGACCATAGATTGTACGGTCCTTAAGGGCTAGGTACTGAGGTGAACGTACAATATGTGCAAAGGGCTGCGTAAGTTGATGGTGCTCTACCTGGTGGCCATAATGAGGTATTTTCCTGTTTGAGGAATTTCAGAAATAAAATACCACCTTATGGCCATTAGATGGAGCTCATGTTCATAGGAAAGAAACATATTAGAGAAATGACAGGGATTACTGTTCCCCAGTGTGTGGTCCCAGTGACACTCCTATGACTCCAAACCAGGGGTGGACTGACAACTCACGTGGCCTTCAGGCAGTAGGGGATCATGGGGCCCCTGTGTCCTCACCCATACCAAAAAAGCCTATTAAAAAAGCCAATGAAAGGTACCAGGGGCATCTCATGGGGCCCCATACTGACCCCGGACCCTCGGGCAGTGCCAGAATACTCGAATGGTCAGTCCGCCCCTGCTCCAAACCAATAAATGATATACACTATATGGGAAAAATCCCATGGACACCCAACCATCACACCTTGTGGATTGACATCCCATTCCAAAACCATCACCAGTGATATGGAGTTGCCCCCCCCCCCCTTCCCCATGGCCGTTGATATGGAATTCCCCTTTTTGTGGCTGTACCATCTTCTGGGAAGACTTTCCACAAGATTGTGGAGGGTGTCTGTGTCAGATCAGGTACCAATCTTGAATGAGAAGGTCAGGGCTCAGGACACTCGAGTCCTGGTTCACCATCAGCGTTCTGAAGGTGTTCAGTAGAGTTGAGGTCAGGGCTCAGGACACTCGAGTTCCTCCACACCTAACTGGTCAAAATAGATCTTAATGGAGATGGCTTTGTACACAGGGGACAGCCATGTTGGAAAAGAAAAAGGTCTTCACCAAACTGTTACCACAAGGTTGGAAGAGCACAATTGTCTACAATGTCCTTGTAAGATGTAGTAATAATAGCACCCTTCACTGGAGACACCTGCAATCCATCATTCAGAGGAAGGTCCATATAGCTTGGGACATATAGTAGGTGTGTTGGTTAGGTGTCCACTGTAAGAAAGGTCACGTGCTCAGAGGTCTGCATGTGCACATTTGACAGCTTGTGATTCGCTGCATAGGGTCACAGCTGTGCGTACATTCACAGGAGTTAGTGAATGAGCTAATGAGCGTGTACATTCAGCACTAGCGTTTGCACCAAGTGCCCTTTAAATTGTAGCACAAATGAGAAGAGTTGAGTTGATGAATGATCGTCAGCTCCTGTGACCTGACTTGGGTTCCACTATTCAATGTTTAATCCAGCTTGCCTCCTGACTCAACCAGATCCAGATCTCCTGTTGCTACCCCTGGCTCATTTCCTGACTACACCTTCTGGCTGCTGTCTTGATGCCTCTGCTGTTCATCTGCTATCAATCTTGGCCTCGACTTTGACCTTAAACCTGCTTCTGAATTGGTATATCTGTTGCCTGTATGGTATTGACCTTGGCCTAGGCTTTCACCTTGTTTCTGCTACTGAACTGGTGCTTCTGCTGCCCATCTGCTACCAACCTTGGCCTTGAATTTGACCATATACCTGCTTCTGAATTGGTATCTCTGCTTCTCATCTATTGTCAACCATGGCCTGGACCTTGACCTTGCTCCTGCTCCTGAACTGGTGCTTCTGCTGCCCATCTGTTACCAACCTTAGCCTCAACTTTGACCTTATACCTGCTTCTGAATTGGTATCTCTGCTTCCCATCTATTGTCAACCATGGCCTGGACCTTGACTGTCAGGAATGGACTGGCCAGCAATAGTGGGACTCACCTGCCTTGTGAGCTGCAGTACCAGGGCTGGCCAGCGGGTGCTCCCAGCAATCAGAGACTCAACCTTGCAGCCAGTCAAACACCTGGAACTAATTATACTGGTGTATTTAAGGGACATTCAGACCTGCAGACTCTGCTTTGGTGTTGTGTTTTTCCTGGGCCCTGTATCTTGTAAACCTGCGTTCCTGTTCCTGTTCCTGTCTTGTTGCTGACCCTGCTTGATTCTGACCTCTGCTGACTTCTCCTGTTCTGATCCCTGGCTTGTGACCCTGACCATCCCTCTGCCTGACCCTCTGTACCACTCTGCCTGCTACCTGCTGAACCTGGCCTGTGACCCTGACCATTCTCCGCTTGCTCCCCCTGTACCTACCTGCCCGATTGATATTGACCCGGCCTGCCTGACGACGCCTGCATTGTATGTACTGTTATCTGTGGGTGGTTGGTTTGGTTTGTTTGCACTGTATTATGTTTTAGTATTGCACTGCGTTTATGTTTGTATTGTTAGTGTTAATAAATTATATTGTTTATAACATATCTAAAGTCTGCGTTTCCCTGCGTCAGTCACACATCTCTGGTCATACCTGGGAGCCCTGACATTACACCAAGGCCAAACCTGACCAGAAGTGGCTGCACAGGGAAGCCATCTTGGCTTGTTGATGGGAAGGATGGATCTGGATGAGGTTGTATATTTATATCTGCTAGTGTTTGATGACAGAGAATATGCTTATCAGACTCTGAGGGAGTATCCCCGGGATGAACTGCTAGAATGTATACGGATCGCTCATGTTCTAGTAGATCAGGGCACAGAGTTCTCTGAGGTGCAGCCATTGATTGAGGTTTGTGCTGAGTTGGTTTCATCTGGTACCCCCGAATGCAGGGATGAATTTTTGCCACCATTTAGTGCAGACCAGGTAGAGTCCCTGGTGTGGTTATTAGAGGATGATGTGGGTTACTTTCTGGAGCGTTATTCCACATGTTCACCACAGATACTAAGAGATTGTATAAACGCAGTGCAGTCATTGACCAGACAGGCTTTGTGTAAGCTCAGCTTTGTTCAACCCATACTGCAGACATGGACAGATTTGTTGCACCCAGCCTCAGTCAGCTTACCAAGACCCCGTCCTGCTTCTAATCTATCTCCTCAAAGCTCTATTCCTGCATTCCCAACAACTCCCCCAGTTACAGCCCAGTATACCCTGCTATCTACCGCATGTCAGTACCCTGTTCCCACTCGCTGCACCTATCCTGCCTTTAACCCTGTAAAGAAGCCCTCTGTAGCAACTGCTCCCTCTCCTGTTCCATCCTCCAGTTCTTCTCTGTCTCCAGCTGCTCCATTCATTTGCAGACCTGCGTTTACTTGCAGTGCACCAGTAGTTAAAACCAGAAAAAAGCGAAAATTCTTTCCAACCAATACCATCCTGCCAGTATCCAAACCGGTGAGCCTGCCGTCCGAGAACTTGCCTTCCGTGGTTCGGCCTGAAGCCTGTACGCAGCCTGATGCCTCCATTCAGCCTGAAGCCTCTACTCAGCATGATGAACTGATCCAGCCTGACGATCCTATTAGGCCAGTTGACTCTATGCCCGCTGTTGATCCAGATGATCCGGTACCTGATCCGGTGCCCGCTGTCGTGCCAATTGACTCAGAGCCCGCTGTCGTACCTGGTGACTCGGTGCCCAGACCTGGTCCAAGCATCTCCAGCAACAAAGCAGCTTTCAGAATGTCTTCTAATATTCTACTGTGGCTGGACCCACTTCATGGACCCATTCTACTCCTCAGCCTGCTACACCCTGTTTACAACTCCAGAGGGTATTGATACCTCACGTGTTTTCCTCAGCCTTCTACAACTCCAGAGGGTATAAAATACCACACGTTTTGCTCAGCCTTCCTGCACAGACCTGGTCCGAGCATCTCCAGCACCAAAGCAGCTTTCAGAATGTCTTCTAATTTTCTACTGTGGCTGGACCTACTTCAGGGACCCATTCCACTCCTCAGCCTGCTACACCCTGTCTACAACTCCAGAGGGTATTGATACCACACGTGTTTACCTTAGCCTTCTACAAGTCCAGAGGGTATTGATACCACACGTGTTTTCCTCAGCCTTCTACAAGTCCAGAGGGTATAAATACCACACGTTTTCCTCAGCCTTCTACAAGTCCAGAGGGTATAAATGCCACACGTTTTGCCATATAGTGCACCTGGGGTCACCAGGACAGAAGGTCACAGACATCAACGAGAACTTTATAGAGATTTAGGACTTTTCATGCTCTACTAATGTTTTGGTGAAGGGACACAAAGACAAACGCACCCTTACTACATACCTGTGAGTCCACCTTGAGAAGCTTGTAGAGAAAGCTTGAATTATCCAGCCCTTCGTTGAAGAGTTTTATAGAATCTTCCAGAAACGGAGGGTTGGGTGGTCTCCTCAGTGGGTGGTAGATGGATGCGGAATACAAGACGGTCATGGCCTGGAACAAGACGCAGATCTGGAAGTAGTTCCCCATCTTCTGATACTTCGTCCTTCGTTCTCCTTCAGTGAAGGCGGAATGATCAGTCCCGGGACTTTTATATTGCACAACGTCTACGTCCAGATGTCATGGTTGGAGCCGGAGCTCTGGGCTCACTTCAAGAAACTGCAGGAAACAAGACCGGAAATATTGACTTTGCAGTAACGAGGTGTCATCCAGAGTCTCCTCGCACGCACCGTGATTAACAGCTCACATGCAAAACTGTGTAAATAATAATAAACCCGGAGAACCTGGAAGAAGATATTATCAGTGTGACGGCCGGGAGGTTCTTATATAAAGAGGACTATTATAGAATAGGTATAGATTCAGGTTTGGTTTGTAAACCGAGCCATCTATGAAGGAGAGAAAAAAGATCGATGTGTACAGATCCAGCAATGAAGTACCTGGCTCTTACCGCCTATTGTGCCCATCATGAGGGGTTCCCACCATCTCTGCACTATGTTCCTGGGTCTGTAGCCCCGCTGTGCCTATTATGAGGGGTTCCCACCATCTCTGCACTGGGTTCCCGAGTCTGTACACCTGATGTGCGCATTATGAGGGGTTCCCATCGTCCCTCTGCTCAATTCCCGGGTCTGTACACCCACTGTGCCCATTTATAAGGAGTTCCCACCATCCCTGTGCTGAGTTCCTTGATCTGTACACCCGCTGTGCCCATTATAAGGGGTTCCCACCTTCCCTGTGCTGAGTTCCTGGGTCTGCACACCTGCCGTTCCCATTATGAGGGGTTCCCACCATTCCTACGCTGAGTTCCTTGGTCCATATACCAGCTGTGCCCATTATTACGGGTTACCATCATCCCTGTGTCCCTGTGCTGAGTTTCCTGGTCTGTACACCTGCTGTGCCCATTATGAGGGGTTCTCACCATCCCTGCTCTGAGTTCCCGGGTCTGTACACCTGATTTGCCCATTGTCAGGGGTTCCCACCATCCCTGTGCTGAGTTCCCGGGTATGTATCCCTGCTGTGCCTATTATGAGGGGTACCCACCATCCCTGTGCTGAGTCCCTTGGTCCATATACCAGCTGTGCCCAGTATTAGGGGTTCCCATCATCCCTGTGTCTCTGTGCTGAGTTCCCGGGTCTGTACACCTTCTGTTCCCATTATGAGGGGTTCCCACCATCCCTGCACTGATTTCCCGGGTCTGTACACCTGATGTGCCCATTATCAGGGGATCCCACCATCCATGTGCTGAGTTCCTAGGTCTGCACACCTGCTGTGCCCATTATAAGGGGTTCCCACCATCCCTGTGCTGAGTTCCCAGGTCTGCACACCGGCTATACCCATTACGAGGGGTTCCCACCATCCCTACGCTGAGTTTCTTGGTCCATATACCAGCTGTGCCCATTATTATGGCTTCCCATCATCCCTGTGTCCCTGTGCTGAGTTCCCTGGTCTGTACACCTGCTGTGCCCATTATTAGGGGTTCCCATCATCCCTGTGTCTCTGTACTGAGTTCCTGGGTCTGTACAGCTGCTGTGCCCATTATTAGGGGTTCAACCCATCTCTATGTTGAGTTCCCCAGTCTGTACACCAGCTGTGCCCATTATGAGGGGTTCCCACCATCCCTGTGCGGAGTTCCCAGGTCTGCACACCTTCTGTGCCCATTGCGAGGGGCTACCAACATCCCTGCTGGATTTTTCATTTCTATGGTAGTCAGATTAGAGCCCATAATTCTATCAGGGAGATCTTCCTGTTGAATGTCCGGGATATATGAGAAGGTAGGAGCTGACCACCACAGTTTTCTAACAGTGGTGGGGCCCAATCTTTACGGTGGTGCATTTGATTACTGCCCCCTTATCTACATGGCGACTTATTTTTGGGGCTACTGAACAAACAGACAGACCCCTCCTGCCTTGAGCTGAAAAGACCCCTCTTGTCAAAATAAACACAACTGTTCACCAGTCCTGGCACCGAGTGAACCTTGTCCTGGACACTTTCCTGTCTCTGATTGTCAGAAACCTGATTCTCTCAGGCTCAGTCCCAGCACTCTGGTCCTCCGTGGCTCAATTGCCAGCAATCCAGCTGGCTAGTGGTGGGGCCCAATCTTTACGGTGGTGCATTTGATTACTGCCCCCCTTATCTGCATGTAGTGACATATTTTTGGGGCTACTGAACAAACAGGCAGACCCCTCCTGCCTTGAGCTGCCAAACAGTGGTCAAATAAGCACAGCCACAACTGCTCACCAGTCCTGGCACCGAGCGGTCCTTGTCCTGGATACTCTCCTGTCTCGGATCGTCAAAAACCTGATCCCCGCAGGCTCAGTCCCAGCACTCTGATCCTCGCAGGCTCAGTCCCAGCACTCCGATCCAAAGTGTTTTGTCACACTGCAAAATAAATGGCAAGGCACAAATATCAGCAAACAGGCAAAAGAATCCGCTTGCATGCAGTAAGATAAGTGGTCTATTGTAAGTACTAGGCTATGTCAGAGCAGTTCCTTGAAATCATCATGATACTAAGCAGGATGAACCCAGTAACCGCAGTGATAGTAATAAACAGTATAAGCAGTGCACCTTATAAACAACAAATGTATAAATGGTAATGAAAAAGTCTAATGGCACCAGACTTGCACATTTCAGCCGGCTAACGGTGGGGCCCAGTCTTTACGGTGGTGCATTTCATTTCCACCCTCATTAAATCTGCATGCAGTGACTTGCTTTGGGGGCTACTAAACAAACAGGCAGACCCCTCTTGTCTTGAGCTGCCAAGCAGTGGTAAAATAAACACAACTGCTCACCAGTCCTGACACCGAGCGAACCTTGTCCTGGACACTTACCTGTCTCTGATCGTCAGAAACCTGATCCTCTCAGGCTCAGCCCCAGAACTCTGATCATCAGTGGCTCAGTCCCAGCACTCTGGCCCTCCGTGGCTCAATTGCCAGCAATCCACTGGTCCTCAGGGGCTCAATTTCTAGCGCTCCACCAATCCTTAGTGACTCAGTTCCCAACACTCCGCCGGTCCTCAGTGGCTCGGTTCCCAACACTCCACCAGTCCTCTTTTACTTGATTCCCAGCACTTTACCGGTCCTCAGTGGCTCAATTTCCCAGCACTGTGTTGGCCCTCAGTGGCTTGGCTCCCATCACTCTGACAGTTCTCAGTGGCTTGATTCCCAACACTCTGCCAATACTCAGAGGATCCATTTCTAGCACTCCACTAGTCCTCAGTGGCTCGATTTGCAGCACTTCTCTGGTCCTCAGTGACTCAATTCCCAGCACTTCACCAGTCCTCAGGGGCTCGGTAACCAGTACGCTGCCAGTCCTCAGTGGTTCGATTGCCAGCACTCCAGTCCTCAGTGGTATCAATTGCCAGGGCTCCAGTCCTCAGTGGTTTGATTGCCAGGGCTCCAGTCCTCAGTGGTTCGATTGCCAGCGCTCCAGTCCTCAGTGGTTCGATTGCCAGCGCTCCAGTCCTCAGTGGTTCGATTGCCAGCGCTCCAGTCTTCAGTGGTTCGATTGCCAGCACTCCAGTCTTCAGTGGTTTCAATTGCCAGCGCTCCAGTCTTCAGTGGTTCGATTGCCAGCACTCCAGTCTTCAGTGGTTCGATTGCCAGCACTCCAGTCCTCAGTGGTTCGATTGCCAGCACTCCAGTCCTCAGTGGTTCGATTGCCAGGGCTTCAATCCTCAGTGGTTTCAATTGCCAGCGCTCCAGTCTTCAGTGGTTCGATTGCCAGCACTCCAGTCTTCAGTGGTTCGATTGCCAGCACTCCAGTCCTCAGTGGTTCGATTGCCAGCACTCCAGTCCTCAGTGGTTCGATTGCCAGCACTCCAGTCTTCAGTGGTTCGATAGCCAGCATTCCAGTCTTCAGTGGTTCGATTGCCAGGGCTCCAGTCTTCAGTGGTTCGATTGCCAGGGCTCCAGTCCTCAGTGGTTCGATTGCCAGGGCTCCAGTCCTCAGTGGTTCGATTGCCAGGGCTCCAGTCCTCAGTGGTTCGATTGCCAGGGCTCCAGTCCTCAGTGGTTCGATTGCCAGGGCTCCAGTCCTCAGTGGTTCGATTGCCAGGGCTCCAGTCCTCAGTGGTTCGATTGCCAGGGCTCCAGTCCTCAGTGGTTCGATTGCCAGGGCTCCAGTCCTCAGTGGTTCGATTGCCAG